TAATAATAATAACGATTTCATAATAGTAAAAATAAAGGTGGAGGATAAAGCTCTCGCCGCTGGTCAATCCAATTTTGGGATGCGCCACGCATTCTACTTCAATTCAAAATCGTAGTGGCTTACTATGACTGTGATGTGGCTTATACAATGAAGTGTGGGGGCTAGATGTACAAGTCAGTGTTCTAATCCTCACGGGCGAATCTAGCAGCAAGTCACCGTTCCCGGAGGGGTTACGTGACAACTAAAACTTTTTGTGGGGGTCCTGCTGCGATAGGCTAGAGCGCACAGCAATAAAGGCATCGTGAGGTACAAAAAACATGACGCGAGCCAGGAGATGAGTTTTTTCGAAGGGAGGGGACACCGGGGTGGATGAGCCACTTAGTATGCGTGAAAAGTTGGAATGTGAAAGGTCAGAGTGGTCACAAAGCGCCATTCAGGCAAGAGAGCGCAGAGAAAAAGAAAGTTGGCGCCACTAAGGGGTTGAGTTTTAGTTGTCCGTAGACCCCCGGAGGGTAGAAGTCTTGGTTGGATTGGGGCCGGGAGCCAATCCGGAATTTGTCCGGAATTGGACCGCGCGCGTGGTAAGTTTGCCGCCACTACACCACCTCCGCAGCAATAATAATATAAATAAGAATTATGATAATTGTAATAATGAATCAACTCGATGCAGACGGGTTCAACATCGTGGTGTGTAGATGTTTGAAGTGACGGTGTTTGTACTAACCCCCCCCCCGCTCTCAAATCCTCATTTGGCCCCATCCATTCCCACTATTTATAGGATTATTTATAAAAGATCATAAAACAATCCTGTAGATAGCGGGGATGTAGTCAATGACGCATATTGGCTCTGAGCATTCATTTTCGCATGGTCACTACGGCAGCAGCCATTGCCACGACTTTCTGTAGGCAGAAATTGCTTCCCTGATGACTACAACGGTGACGTTTACGGGTAGCGACCGTTCCGTTGTTTTGGAAGACTATGGCTGATATAACGATTCGCTACGTTACTCACCTCCGAAAACGACACCTGCCGCAGACTGGAGGAGGTGTTCCTCACGTTCCTATAAAATCAATAATACTACAGTGAACGAGACAATGAAAAACTACAGAAGCTAGATAGTTAAGCTCAAGAAACTGAACATGTGCGTTTCTCGCGCTTGAACAACCCGCAGTCAAATCGCCAATCAGCTTTCCACCTCAGAAATATGCGTTGGTGGCGTGACTGTGAAGAGGAGTGACTGGAAAATTTAGCAAACACCACAACTACACGGTCCCCCCCCCAAATACTACGGTTTTTCGCCATGCTCCGCCGAAGCGACTTTGTTAGTCAAAGCATGGCGGAGAATCGTAGTATTTGGGCGGGGACCGTGTAGTTTCAGTTTTGTGCTCAGATTCGTGTCTGTATGTAGCTAGTCGAATTGTAGCACTTGCGCTACAATTAGTTGAGAATATTATAAGGTTGAACAAAGATATGATGATAACATCCCGGTTTGCGCGAGACTCGCCAAATGGCCCTACATTTAACGAATATCGACATTACAGAGAGCATCTGCTGCTTGTTTTTTAGCGTTATTGCTTCCCGACGAATATGCCATATGAATTTCAGTCAAATGGGCAGGGCGTCGTGAAATTTCTGTCAACATTTGGACGACCTTGGCGAGCATCTTTCATAAAAAACCTCATAGTAATTCTCACTCTCGGGTTATCGTAGAAAATGCCGAAAGTCGTCGCTCCTGCAGGCAAGAGTCCGCGTGCCTGAAACAGAACATTCTTAATTCGATCCAGCTCATATGTAGTAGCAAGTTATAGAGTACGAATTAAACATAGGTTCTGAGGACCTACCTCTTTGAATATTGTACCGACACCGGAGTAAGCACCGATATGGTGCTTGTAATACACTGTGAGCGATTTGCCCAGATACTTTGGCGTTTCAGTAACAGATGGCTGAAAACTTGAAGTACTGTTCCACTAAAACGCAAAGACAGACAAAACACCAGATTTACTACTTAGTTCTGATATCAGCTAATCAGTCCTTCATATTGTAAGTACGAGTATTGATAAGCGATTTATTCTAGATATAACAGAAGTTGTCGCCCGTATGTGGTGATCTAGCGTGTCGGTGTGACGAGGAAAAGGGATAAGCACGAGGAGCGAATCAAGTGCGGGACGAAATACAGGCCATGGTAGGCTCCGCCCACAGTGGGCGGTGCCGAGGACGAAAACTCGTAAAACGATTCTGAACTGTCCAGACACCCGGTAATAAGCGTTAGGCCAGCGACACAAATAAGCTAACCGCAGGGAATCGCAGGGTCTAATGCCTTTGACATCTAACCAACGTCGGTTCAGCGTATTCTCGAGCATTGAGTTCAGCGTTAAAAGAAAATGTTCAGAGTGTCTATTTACCCGCTACTCTGTGCTACACATGTGATGTGCACCGTGGACTAGAAATGTTTTTTTTCTCTCCATAAACAGGCGGTACAACGCCGCGACCACGCCCGTATGTAAAAACTTTTTTCGAGACGACTTTGCACAACGTTGTTTACCTCATCGTAAAAATACATGTATTAGAGGGTTCACCACATCTACATATAGAAACACGAAAAACGTAAGTGAAAACGAATCAAGGTAAAGTAGTTCTATGAAAAGAAAGAACGCTCGCACCTGAATATTACTGAAAAATCCACTTTTAGCAATTTTTAGGGCTGCATAGGCTAAAATGAGAAGACATACTGCGATGAAGGCCAACTCAAACATCTGCAAGAGTGGACGTTTAAGGTGATTGCACTTTTTTCAATAAGAGGTAGAATATAGCATATAGCAGATAGCATAACGGCAGCAACATAAATTCAATAGCATGGAATTTCTAGATGAAAATTTTTCAATTCTCTGG